ACGCGGAGTGGTTGGGTAGGATGCTTGGAGACTTCCCATGTTTCCCCACAGTAGTCCAGGGCAAAGGGGTCAGCCAGTCTGGCGTGGGAGCAGTGGATCCAAGCAGCAATGCCATCTACCTTAAGGGAAGTGGGTGTAGCCAGTAGCAACATGTAAGGTCCCTTCCACCGTGGTTCCAGAGATCTCAAGTTGTGCCTTTGAACAAACACCCAGTCCCCTGGTTTAAATGAATGGGGGGTAGGAATAGAAGCAGAATCATATAATGCTCTAAGCTGGGGCCACATACTCTTATGCACCAGCTGTAAATAGTCAAGCTTACACAGAAATTCAGTATCATCCAAATCAGCAAGCAATTCAGTCTTGAGGCTAGGGATAATGGGTGGGGGGTGTCCATACATTATTTCAAAAGGAGTAAAGCCAAGCCGATAGGGTGAATTTCTTACTCTAAACAGGGCAAAAGGAGGGAACGATACTCAGTCTGCACCAGTCTCCAAAGCCAATTTAGTTAAGGTCTCTTTTAGAGTCCGATTCATTCTTTCTACCTGCCCTGAACTCTGGGGTCTTTAAGTACAGTGCAATTTCCAATCCGTCCCCAGTGCCATGGCTATTCCCTGACTTACTTTTGAGACAAAGGCCGGTCCATTGTCTGACCCGATGGTGGATGGAAAGCCATACCTGGGTAGGATTTCTTCCAGGATCTTCTTAGCCACAGCGTTCGAGGTCTTATGCTTTGTTGGGTAGGTTTCAACCCATCCTGAAAAGGTGTCTACAAAAAACTAGCAAATATTTATATCTAAATTTTCCAGTTGTAATTTCTGTGAAGTCTACTTCCCAATACATACCTGGCCTGTCTCCATAGAGGTGAGCTCCTTTTGTAACCGGTTGATTGAGGGCCTTGGTGAGCTGACAGGCTTTACAATTTTTAACAATGTCCTCAATGAGTTGATTTCCTTGCCTAATTTTTACTTCTGAGTGTCGGAGCAAGTCCTGCACTCTTCGGGTTCCCATGTGAGAGACCCGATGGATTCTCTTAAGAATCCCCTTGCCCAATCTTTGTGGCAAGATAAGTTTCCCCTCACCAGTTTTCCACCAGTCTTTATTTCCTTCTCTGTCTGGGGGGTTTATAGGCCATGGGAATTTTCTTTATCCACTCCAAGTCTTCTTGGGAGTACTGAGGCTCAAAGGCAAAGCTCGTGGCCCTGGGTCTACTAGAGTCAGTACTTCCACTCTGGGCTGGAGGGCCGCCTCCTTAGCTGCCTGATCGGCCAAGTTATTTCCTTCGGTTATTGAATCAGTTCCCTTTTGATGGCCACGACAGTGCATAATAGCAATATTTGCTGGTTCCCATTAGGCCTGGATGAGGCTTAAAATTTCTTGTTTGTTTTTAATAGTCTTTCCCTCAGCTGTCAGCAGCCCCCTCTCTTGGTAAATGGCTCCATGGAAATGCACAGTGGCAAATGCATACCGACTGTCCGTGTAAATGTTTAGTCTCTTCCCTTTTCCCATCTGTAGGGCTTTTGTTAGTGCCACTAGTTCTGCTCTTTGTGCAGACGTTCCTGGGGGAGTGCTTCTGCCCACACTATCTCAGTGTCCGTGGTGACTGCTGTGCCCTCATACCTTTTTCCATCTCGAATGAAACTGTTGCCGTCTGTGAACCAGATATGCTCGGCATGTGATAGTGGCGAGTCCAACAAGTCTGGCCTCTTTTCCTTGGCCCAGTCTCTCTTTTCATGCTCAATTTCACGTTCTCTGTCCTTCCTTTCCTGTCTTTGCTCCTCTGTCTCTCTCTTATTGTAAACCTTTTCCACCGTGGCTACTAGATCCCTAATAGACTTTTCACCAAGTCTGTCTAGAGCCTGCAACTTTTGCTTTATATCTGGTGCAGCTTGATTTATATAGGCAAACATAATCATCTGAGCCGACTCCTGGGTCTCAAGATCATACAGGGTATATTGACTAAAAGCTTCCATGAGCCGCTCAAGATATGCTGCCGGACTTTCACTTCCTCCCTGTCTTACATCATAAACTTTGGCCATATTAGTAGGTCGGCGAGCTGCTGCCTCGAGACTTGCCAACAGAGCCTGGCGGTAGACGAGGAGTTGTTCCCTACCTTCAACCGTATTGTAGTCCCATGTTGGTCGGATCTCAGGAAAATAGGCAACGATCAGGGCAGGATCCGTGATGGGCGCTCCTGTGGGGCCAGGGATATGTTTCAGGGCTGCCTCTCAGATACAGTCTCTCTCTTTGGTGGTAAAAAGGACCTGTAAAAGCTGACTACAATCATCCGAAGTGGGCTGATGAGTAAAGAGAATAGTTTCAAGCAAATGAATTCCTGGGGTTTCTCAGAAAAGGGGGCATTTTGGGTCCACCAATTGTATAGATCACTGGTAGAAAATGGCCAATATTGGGGTTTCTGTTGACCATCCACATCCACAGGACCTACGGTGCATAAGGGAAAAACAGCTGCATTAGAAGGGGGTTGATCCCATGGCGTCATCAAGTGACTGGCCCCTCAGAAACTTTAAGGGCAGGTGCCGAAGGTTCGGCTGCTGGTTCTATAGCTCCCTCCTCCTCTTGATCATTCTCAGGCTATGCAGAAGGAACCTGAGAAGGGGAGTATGGGGGAGGAAACATTTCTTCTTCCAAGTTATCTCCCTGAAAAACCGGGGGGTACAATTTCTTTTCTTCTTAGTTTCTTTTTGTAAGTCTAGGGGGCTAGATGGATGGTGCCCAAGGTTTCCCGTCAGTTGTACAGTCCAAAAAACAATAAACAGTACAAACAAAAGACACGCAGGCCTGACAGTTTAAAAAAAAGCTTACGAAGTGGAGATCTCCCAAATTGGTCTGCTGACTCCTGTAGTGGGGAAGCAGAAGGAGCAGACCCACAGTGGGCAAGTTGGGCCTCGGTTAGGAGGCCATCTTGGTCAGTTCTGGCCCAACACCGAACCGACTCATGCCCCACAATTCTCATGGCGGGGTTCCAAGGATCCCCCCTTGAAAGAGGATCTGGGATGTCTCCCAGTTCCTTCAGGGTTGTCGTGCAAGTGTGTCTGCTTCGACAATCCTTTACACAATACGAATCGGAGTGGCTGTCCTCACAAAGAAAAATGAAAGTAAAACACACAAACAGACTAACGACAGGAAAAGACAAATTTGACAGCTCTGTTTTACCTTCGGAGTCTGAGGTCTTGGGGGTCTTTGGGGGGATCCCGGATGAGCCCCCACTAATATGTTGTGCCCAGGTTGCAGGACACCCTCCACCAAGAAGACCACCAAGAGTCAGACTTTATAGCTATTTTAAGGTTTTATTTGGATGGGCTGCAGCTCGGGCCTCGGCCTACACTCCGACACCGTGGAGCCTAGGAGGAGAGCCCCGAGCTAAAGATTTGCAGGTCTTATAAAGGCACACAACCAACCAGGTGTTTGGATTACCACCACGTGTTGCTCTGCTAGACAGAATTTGCTGCTCTTAGTACTTTAACCCTTCAGGTATAAGCCACTAGAAAGACCCCACTTGCACCACTTAAATTTAACTGGAAAAATGGATATAGCAAAAGCTTGCCGTTTTCACCATTTGTAAGTTCATGTGGAGTCCATTCGCACCATGGGGCAGGGACAGCTGCCATGACCAAGCCCCCAGCCCTGGTCCACCTGCAGCTTGCCCCCGCCCAGGCCCTCCGGACCCTGGCCCCGCCAGCCCCGCCCCTCACATCCTCACCTCTGGCTCTGGTCCCAGCCCTGCCCCTCGCATCCCCCTCCTGCCCCACCCCTCCATACCCTTCCCCTCCTCTTCTCCTCTCCATGAATCCCTCGACTCCACGTGGCTCATCTGAGTGGAACAATACAGCACCTGTGCCCCATTTTCTAACTTTGGACAACTCTAAGGAAGGCACGTGTGCAGGAGGGGATAGTTCTGTGTGCGCTAAATTACTTCGTTCTTTCAGACCCCTCTCTGCCCCATTTTAGAAGGTTGGGAAGGATGCATGGGTGGAGGCTGGGTTAGGAGCAGCAGCAGTAAGGTTAGCAAGAGGGGTCCAATGTGGATTGGACAGGACAGGATGTCCCATTTCTTTAGGAAGGCGACCCGGGGCCCACAGGGGCAATTTCCCTTTCAGCCTCACAGACAGCCTTTAGGGTAGTGGGACAGGTGAATTGGCATCCCAGGGCCCAGCCTCTGATGTCCAGGCTAGGTTCCCCCGGAGAGGCCATCCTCCTTACCTGCCCCTGGTTGGATGGACAGACATGTCAAGGCTAGGCTTTGGCACAGGTCAGTGATTTATGCTGTACCTGTGCTGTTCATGAACACACTGCAGGGGTCCCTAGCCTTCGTGGCTGTTCTTAGCATGTGACCTGGAGCCTGTAGGTGCTCTCTGCCCAGGAGCTTCACCCCTCAGTTTCCCCAAGTCAGTAGGGCAGGAGGAATCTACAGAGAACTTGGTGACACCTTCAACCAGGCCCATCATTGATTCTAGTGGGGTGCTCTTAGGAGCTCTCAGTCACAGCACCACCCATAGGACCTGCTGAAGGTGACTGCAGACGGCTGACCAGGCCCTCACAGACAGGGTCCTTGCTTGCTCTTCAGTAAGGTACCGTCCATTAGATGTATTGATCCCTTAAGAGTGCTAGCATCAGTGAGCCTCCTGCTGGGGGTGGTTGAGACAGAAAGACAGACAGATACACCAGGCGACTGTTGTGGTTCCTCCCATGGGGTAGTAGAGATGGCCAGTGTAGCATATTCTTAGGTCAAAGTTCTACAGATCCCTGTCACGGGCTGGGGTCACATCCCACTTCCTGGCCCAGAATTCCCATTGTCCACTGCATTTTTTGCTGGCCAGTTCATCCTCTAAGGCATTCTGTGCCTCTCGAGGCCATGTTGGTGCCAGCTAATGGCTATGGAGAGCAAGTGGGCTTTTCACGCAGCCTCAAGGCTCCCCGTGCCAGGGCCCTGCCCTCCCTTCCCCGACCATCTTCTAATGTCTTCTTCTCTTCTTTCCACACAGGATCCCGTTGGTGAACCTGTAAAAACAAAACAAAAATACAAAACCTAAAACTAGACTATCTAAGGGAAGCTGCCATTCTGTTTGCCGGCGGAAAACTCAGAGCGGGACACTCTAGGCAAAATATATTTTTGTACAAATGCTCATGCCTATGGGCCGCCTCCTCCTCCTGGAGTTTTCTTTGGAGAACAGAAAGAAGAAATGCAAGGAGGGGACTGGAGTCAGAGAGCCACGGAGACCAAGCAAAAAGGACAGAAGGAAGGATACCTGACGTCTGGAATTTGTACCACGATTCTGAACCCATGCCAATAATGCCATTATGTGCCATGATCTGACCCCAAAACTTGGCTGCAAGCTGGAGCCAAGTGGACCACGCGTAGAAATTTCACAGAAAACAGGGGTGGGAATCTTCCGATAGAGTCACTATTTCTGGTTATTATACATATATAAATATATAAATACCAACAGAGACACACATATACACACATACACTTTTTTTGTACTGTAGCAATTTTTGAAGATCTTCAATGTTCCTTTTTAAAAAAAATGAAAGAATTGTGTTATAGGTTACAAAAAAAATCTGATTTATTTAACTTGCTTAGTACGAACAGAATAAACTGGTGTTTTCTACTTTGGCCACGCAGCTCACACACATGCCACATACAGCTACACACACCTGCAGACACACACACACACACACACACCACACACACACACACACACACCTGCACACCCGCATCTATACGCATCTATTCGAGATACAGTTCCACAGGTGAGCATATTCGTTCTTCTTCCTAGTAACCTGATGTATCATCCCTGGGGGCGGCCTCATCAGATGATGTGCCTCTTCAGTGACATCTTGTGTCTACCAGATGTTTCCTGAGTGATACCCAAGTGAATGCTTTCTTAACCTTGGGCCGGAATTAAGGATGCCACAATTTTCTATATATATGTATACACACACCTGCATAAATGTTACCTTTCTTCATTTACTTGCTGGAAGCTGCTACCTAACAGCCACGTGAACGCTTCCGTCGCTGGCTGCCGACAGGCGGGCCTGAGCACCAGGTTGGGTGGGTGGTGGATTCTCGAACATTTGTGTTATACAAGCGTAGACTGAATTAAAGAGATTTTCCAGTTCCAAACATTAAAGGAAATATATCCGTACACCGTGTGTGCATGTGTCAGGAGAGCACTCAGGAACGCACGGGGGCTCCTGTATGTTGGGAGGTGAACCCCACGGTTCTGCACTCAAAGCCCAGGCAGCTCCTGCTCGGCCTCTCCTGGGCCGCGGCTGCCTCTGCATGTCCTGCCCCCCATCCATGGGCAGACAGCGTGCTTTTTCTTGAGCCCACGAATGACCAAATGCCAGTGGAAATGGTACCCTCTTGTCAAATCCTGTGGGCTCACTGTTGGGTTTTATTGTCCAGAGTCCTAGAGGGAAGCAGGAGCCCTTCATTCTGAGAATCCCCCCCACCAAATCCACTGTCAGAAGCTGCTGTGCTCCAGGGGGACAGCTCCCTCCCCAGCTCAAGGGAGCATCGTAAGGGAACTAGGGGTTCCATCTCTCAGCCTGCCCCTCTCTCCTTGAGAGCAGCAGAAACCCAGATCAAATGTAGGTGTTGATCAGTCTCCAGAGAACGTGTTCCTCCGGTGTGGCCAAGTGCTACTTTGGTTTCACGAGTGGTCCATGTGGACAGATTGAGAGAATGTGTCTGCAGCCTGAGTTCAGGCTCAGGAGCCCAGGAGACACTTCGGCTTGCCACTCCTTCTTAGATTGCCAAAGGTCTGATTCTTCTGTGGGACTCAGTTGCCCTCAGAAGCACCTTGAAGTGTGCTTGAGAAGTTTGCTTTTGTACCTCCCCAAATACCTGCTGGTAGAGAGGCACCCACGGAGGGGAGAACATTGCTTTCCTACTATGATTATATTGAGATACGTAGTCACGGCCTTGATGAAAACTTCGGGAAGTGCTTGCAGGGTTGGCTTTCTGTCTTATCTTTTCCCTCCAAAGCTTTGGCACTTACAAAGACAATGCAGACACCAGGCACTGGCATTTGACCATCTCTGGGTTCCTGGAACTGGTCCAGGGGCCTCCATGGTCTCAGCCTCACCTGTCACATTAAACTCCCTCCTCTGCCACCAGAGGTGGGCTCTGGGGCCTCCCTGACTAGGTGAGCACAGGCCAGTCCAGGTACGAGCTGAGGGCCATCCGTGTCCAGCAAGGGGTGGCTTGGGTGTTCTGAGCTCCAGAGCAAGCACAGCTGGAAAGGAGGCGGTGGCAAAAAGCCTACTGGTATCTGTGGAGTCATTTCAGGAAGCTCCTAGCCCTGCCTTTGGACACAGACTGCACTCAGGGTGTTTGGCCCTCTTTGCAGAGTCCTGAGACACTGGGCTTTGGAGAGAAGTTAAAAGAAGCTCAGGGACCACACAGGTACAATCCCCAGACAAGGAAATGTGTGAATGCTAGACCCCAGAGTTCTGACGCCTGCTAAAACCAGTCGAGGCTGCCCTTTCCTGGGATGGCGGGGTGAGTGTGAGAATGTACTGTTTTATTCTTTCCCTTTTTTTATCTCACCTCTCCCATCCCTCAACTGAAAACACATCTACAGAAGAAGAGATGACACCTAGAATGCACAGTCTTGTAATCTGCACCCCCATCCCCGACCTCCATCAGTGATGAGCGGGTCCCTGCAGCTCAGGATCTCACAGTCAGGCCGGTGTGCAAGGCCCAGCATGTTCTGGGCCTGGTGAGCAGAGGGGAGCAGTCCTTCCTTCAGCAGTGTGGGTGGGGCTTGAGTCCCAAGCACCCCCACTTCTCACCTGGACCTCTAGAATTCAGCCACCCATGTATGTCCCCACAGACTCTGGCCTTTACATTTGCTTTGACTTCCTTTCTCCTCCTGAAAAGCATGCATGACATGATGGTCAGGTCCTCAAATCCGTATCCACATTGGTTGTCCCCTCTTTCTATTCATCAAAAGCTGCCTGAGGCATCTTTTGCAGTCATTTTGTTTGGCTCTTGGAAGCCATGTTATCCTATGGTCAAGTCCACTTCTAGGCTTAGTCACTTCCAACCTTCACTCATACGTAGCCACAAGAGGGACACAATTGCTCCTGGTCCAAATGGCAGGTATGAAAGGCAAGAGAAACATCCAGATCCTTTCCACCTGAGCACAAGCCCATGGCAGAGCCGGACACATGTCACCCACTGCACTCCTGGCAGGCAACCTTCCCATACAGCATGTACTCACCGTGACACCCTGGGAAGACAGGAGCTGTGGGCGCCTGCACGGTGACCTCCCGCCATGGGAAGGACAGGCCCCTGGGGTCCTCTAAGTGTTTTTGGTCCTTCCTGTTCTTGGGCCACCAGTGGACTTCTGCATTCAATTCTTAGGGGTCCCCCTTGGGGGTTTCATACTTACAGACCTCACTGACTCTGAAGTTGACCACCCACACGCCAGCCATCGCCTCTGCTCCTGTCATCTTAAGTTCTCCCTTCCCACTATGCAGTATCTCTCACAGCCCATTGCCAACACCAGTCAGAGCCTTCCTTGCACGCTTTGTCTTCAGCCACATTCTGTGGCGATGGCCCAGCCAATAGTCGAACCATGAAATGAACACATCGCCTTTGAAGGCCTCTGCGCTGATGCCCTTGGCCATGGAGTAAGACTCCATCTATCTGCCTCTGCTCCCAGATGATTCTGGATCTTCTGAAGCTTGGGAAACTGAGCTGAGGCCATACTTTTAGAGATAAGACAGGGAAATAGGGCTGAGACTAGAACCCACAGCCCTTCAACAGTCAGGCCAGGTCTTCCCAGACATTCACTTCAAAATGGCGCCAGGACACACCTTCCCTTGTCCACCTGTGGATCATCACTCACCCTGTCTCACTGAGATCACAGCATTCCCTGATGTTCCTCTGAGCTTCGTCCCACACACATGGCCTTCAGGTCACTGTAGGAGAAGACACCCAGGTCCTGACCAGTGGAGCCATTCTTGTTTTGGCTTGTGAGTTCTTCAGGGAGATACCAATGTCATGGGTAGATGGAGGAGAAAGAACTCTCCCGTGATTGGCTGATCCCTACTCCAATCTGCTCATTCACCAAGTACGCGTAGGACTTCTGGCATGGTGTCTACACTGCTGAGGGCAGTTCCTACAGCTCTGTGCCCTATGGTCAGAGAAGACAGATAATTACCAAGGAGGCCCACCAAGTAATGGAGAGGAGAGACAGGGAGGCAGACAGGCTAGGGGAACAGCAGAGCAAGGAGGAGTATGGATGCTGTCTGCATCCATTACCTTCTATGAGCCCTTTATCTCCTAGGAAGTCATCCCTGGCTTTCTGAGGGGCGGTCTGGGCTTGAGTAGAGCAAAGCCACCTTAGCTCACCCTTTGAGTAGAAATGCAGTGGAGTTCCAGGGGAGATATGCCCCAGGCAATACCAACAGCTCTACCTGGCTCTCCAAAGATCTCCTCCATCACTGTCCTAAGGGTGAGGCCAAAGGGGAAGCAGAAGTGGGGGTGGACTTGCCTGCCCCAAAGCCCCGTCTCAGGGTCAGCCTTTCTTCATGCTCCCTCCCCCACCCTGCCTGGGCCAGGTCTCCATCAGGTCAACCAAGTTCAAGGAGGACTAGGGGGCTGTAGAGCAGAGAGTCACCCATGGGGGACAGAAACACTGGATGCCAGTCCTCCTGGTCTCCAGAGGCAGCTGCCTTTCCAAAATCCCCCCCCAACCCCCCAACACAGAGCATGCTTATTCCTGTCTTTTTCATACAACATCTGCTTTTAAGTAAGCAGTTATTGCAACACATGCCATGATTCATGTCATTCTGGAATGGTTACTTGGGAGCGGTTCGTCAACTTGCTCAGCCATACTGTTTTTGTTTTTGTTTTGATTGTTTGTTTGCTACCCAGGGTAAACAACGTGGCCCACAGAAATGAGCCAGGCTCTCGTCATCCGGCAGTCTTGGCTTATCCTGACGCTTAGTCTGCACAGATGTACTGGCTGCGGCGATGAGGGAGGCTCTGTGGTGCATAAGGCATCCATTCACTTCTTTCTTAAAGAACCAGAGAAGTTTAGGTT